CCAATTTGCAGCATCAGTATGGATGATGAAGAGATTGAGATAGTTAGCCGTTTTAGTTTATTTGGCTCCACAGTCAAGACTCTTGGTACCAGCAGCCAGGAAATCAAGAGACAAATTGCATTGGGAAAGTCTGCTGTCAGAGACCTCTCCAGAGTACTGAAGAGCAACGCTGTCAGGCTGGAGACTAAGGTGCCCCTGAGCTGGGCTATAGTCTTCGCAGTTGCATGCTATGCATTGGAGAGCTGGACAGTGACTAGAGATGACAGAAAGAGAATTGATGCCTTTGAGCTGTGGTGCTGGAAAAGAGTGTTGAATATACCATGGACTGCTAGGAAAACAAACAAGTTTGTCCTAGAGAGGGTGAATCCAGGCTGCTCCTTGGAGGCAAGGATTCTGAAGCTTCGTCTGACATACTTTGGGCATGTTACAAAGAGGGACCAGTCCTTGGAGAGGGACATCATGTTTGGGAGAGCAGACAGGACAGTGCAGGAAAGGAAGACCCTCAATGAGATGGATCCATTCAGTGATTGGGGTAGTGGGAGTAGGTGTGTCAGAGACACTGAGGTTGGCACAGGATAGAGCAGGGTTTAGGCCTCTTGTACGTAGGATTGCTAAGAGTTGCAAGTGACTTGATGGCACATAACAACAACAGTGATGTCCTATTGAAAGTTTTTGGTAAGATGCTTATTTTTATAGTGCTAATAATTCTGAGCTCTCTTAACAGTTTTTGTTGACTTTGAGAAGAAATAAGGAAAATGCTAGCTATTGCTACTGTTATTTATTTTTGATGGAATATTCTTCAAAGTTGTACAGCACTCTTCTGTTTGCTGTGGAGCTGACCCTTGTGCCATTAGGGGTCAAATGTCATAATGACTGCCCTTGGTGGACAGTGTTTGGTGGCGCACCCAATTTTAAGACAGGTTTGGAAGCAGGAGTGGCATCCACTTCCTAAACCACGTGCCTCTGGAAACTCTATGAACCTGGAGAAATGATGATGGTTATAGAAAGGCCCTTTGTTCATAGGGTCACTCTGAGTCGTCCTCAACTCGACGGCAATGAACAACAACATAGTACACGTATACACATACACGTATTTGAAAACTGTTTCAGGAGGGCCTGGTTAAGAATCTAACTGTGACTTGCTATCTGAAGGTAGAAGTTTTCATTTTCATACATTGGTTTCTTTTCCACATATTGGTTTGTTTTACTTTTTTATGTGTGTAAGTTTTACTGCAAGGAGTAGGCAAGCTTTCTGCAAAGTCTGGGGAATTGAGACGATTTTTGCCTCAATATTCTCCCTTATGCACATGTAGGACCCACACTTGAGTGAAGTATTTGCCAGCTGAGATCTTTGAAGCAACAATTTGCTAAGGACAGAAAACTTTCCTTTCTATATTCACCTCCTCCAAACAGCTCACTGTAAGAGGACTTGCACCCTATTTTTACATTCTGTTTACATTCTAGTTTGTAGGGCAAGGCATTATTTACATACACCTCAAGCAAACATCTAACTTTGGACCATTAAGAGAATGACAGTTAAGAGATGAAGGCAGAGCCTAAGAAAACTTTATCTTTTTTTTTTTTTAATTTTGTGTGTGTGTACCGTCAAATTGGATCTGACTGGTACAGGAGGCAATTGTTCCTCCTTCTTCAGCAGAGCATCTGGTGGATTTGAACCACGCACCTCTGGGATTGCAGTGCAGTTTCCTGCCACTAGGCCACCAGAGCTCACCAAGTCTTTATTTCTTTATCACTCCGGTGTTTCATCCCACACGCATCCACATCTGAAATTGAAGCTGTCTTCCTGTCCTGTTTTTCTTTTTCAAACTGGACTTTTGTTGATATGTTCTTGCGAAAGAAAATCAAAAGCAGGCATAAGCCCAATGCTAACAGAACGTGGTTGTGTGGTTTTTCCTATTCTCTGAACCTTCCTTCCCCACTATAACCTCAAAGGGCCATTATTTTCACAAAGGGTCTCCCTCCTCTGGGGCCTCTGGCTGACTCTCCAGGCGATGATAGCCACCTGGTGGTCATATGTGAGAACAACATGTGAGAATCTCTTACAAGAACTTTAGTTGTTACATTGAGTCCAGGACCAACTCACAGTTGAACTTCCAGAAACTGTACCACCGTTGAGGACGTTGCCCACCTTCCTTCTGCAGAGCAGCTAGTGCATTTGAACCATGTGCTCCTGGTTGGACAGCGCAACTCCGTACTTAACTAGAGTTCCGTTTGAGAGCGTAAACCAAGTAAATTTTACTCATGGAAAGATGTGGAGCAAGGAAAGAGAGACCTATATATTGAGATGGCAACCAGGCTACAGTCATCCTGTTTCTCTTAGACCCACCTTGTCTCCATGGATACAACACCCTGTTTGGTAGTGACTACAGACACATGAATTCGCTTAACATTTCAGTTCATTCACGCAAAAATTTATTGAACAGCAACATTGTGTGCCCAGCACCAGGCATACAGCAGTAAGCAGGATGCACAAGACCTCTGTCCTCATGAGTTTACAATAGGGCAACCAATCACTTCCATAGTTAAAAGAAAAATATTACAGTTAGCATGTGCTCTGAGCAGAAATTGCATGGTGCACAGAAAAGAAAACCCTTCCATGAGATGAACTGACACAGTGGCTGCAACAAGGGTCTAAGCATAGTAAGAATTTCCAAGGATTAACTGGGGCATGGGGGTGGGGAGAAAAATGTGCAACAATGAATGACTGGAAATCGAAATTTTCTGGAAACTTTTGTTAGAATACCAATGTTTTTTTAAAAAAAATAAATTCCAAGGATGGTCCACGGTCAGGCAGGGCTTTGTTCTGTTTGGCAGAGAGTCTCTAGGACTTGGGGAATACTTGATGGCACCTCGCAGAAAGAAAAGACTTAACAGAGACTCTTGCTGTTGCCACAAGTTAGCATTAACTCAAAGACAACTGGATTTTTTTCTAGTTCTTGATCTAAGACTAGTAAGTCAGAGACAGCCTCCCTGAGGAAGAAACATTCAGGCTGAGCTTGGTGAAGAGTGGAGGGGACAGCCTAAGTCAAGGCTAAAACAAGGCATATAAGGAACAAAAAGCCAGCCCATATGGCCAGAGCATAAGGACCAAGAGGACTGGGAGGGCGTGGGATAGCCACAGTAGGCAGGGCTTGAATTATGCGTGATCTTAGATTTAGGAGACTTTATTCCAAAAACCACTGGAAGTTACTGAGGAATCTGAAGCAGAAAAGTTTCATAATTGTACTTGTTTTGCAAAGATCCCTCTGACTCGTGTGTGTGTGTGTGTGTGTGTGTGTGTGTGTGTGTGCGCGTGCCAAAGAGGAAATGGGAAGATTCCAGAGAAATATAAGCAAGAGTTGTGGTGGCTTGGTGGCAAGAAGATGATTCCAGAGGCATTTTGGAGGTGGGATCTGCTTGGAGTATAACTGGGTGTGTGGGGAAAGGGATGTGGTTCTGGCAAAAAGTTCTGAAGTAGGGGACTGTAGGAAGGGCAGGTTAGGACAGGACACTGAATGCATCCTGTAGACACAGCCTTGAAGCAGTTCATAGAACCGTTTACTACAGTTCTCAGATAATTTAGGGCTGAAAGGAGCAAACAAGATGCACATGAACAAATGCTTAGTTAATTAATCATCAAAATGATTGCTTCACATAATTCATGGATTTCTGGATTACATGGAATGGAAGGAAAGCTCTCTGCCCCACACTGAGATCAGATGCTGCTGAAGCCAATATATTACCTTTGTTTATACCTCTCACAGACCCTCAGAAAACTCCCAAGATTACCAGATCTGGCCACTGACCTCAGTGGTCTCTTTGGTCATCAGAAGAGTTTTCTGACTTACTTGGCTCCTCTGTATAACCCTCTCAAGCCACACTTTCAGTCACCAACTTGCCAGCACAACTCTGTCTTCCTCACCTTCCCCAAGGAGCACAGGCTCATCCTGAAAGGATTGTGCTACTTGGCTGCATTTTGCTCCCCCATCCAAAGCATCCCCAATTGGTTTTTTTTTCCTCCCAAGAGCACATACTCACCCTTTGCTCAAAAAGTCATAGGAAAGTTTTTACTGTGGGCTAACTTACAGCCTCAAAATATTCATTGCTAGCTAACACTTACCCTCCCTTTACCCTCTGCCACTGGAGAATTCAGCTCTTATTCAAAGACTAACACTACAAAAAGAAGACTGGCTGACCACATAACAGGGCTCTATTGGGCACCTGGCCTAGGACATTCGTATCCAAAATACTTGGTCCAAGAGCAGTGACTACAAATATTGGCAGGAATTAATACTTGAGGAAGTCCTTTACATTGAGAAGAAAAAGGGCTCTGGAGTTGGAACAGATTTAGGTTTACAACGGGACTCTATGATTACTAACTAGTGTGCCTTTGTGCTATTATATATATTTCTGGGCTTCAGAAGATAAATGTTAAATACTGGTGGTTTTGTCCAACTTATTGGGTGGATGTGTTAAGAAGGATTCAGAAAACAATTAACATGCTATCTAGCTTGAATTATCTAGGAACCACTTTCTTTATTCTCCTAGGGCTTTAGTTGCCAAATACTAGTCTAGAAGGAAGCTAAGCCAGTTTTGTACAGTCAGTCATATACATTTCCTGTTCTTACCTTATCAGTTCTGTCTTCCTGAGGCCATTCTGTTATTTCCAGCATTACTAAAGTCTTCAAATTCTCAGCCCTACACAGGGCTTCTCTTATTGTCAAAAAAAGCCTGCCCAAGCTCTGACACTTTCTTCTATATCATTCTAATCTTCAATTCCTTAAATCATTAAAAATTAACTACACAATTCACTTCTACTCATCTACCCAATTTTCTCAAAGCAAACTGTAACAAAGCTGGGGAAGAGGACCTCTTCTGAACCAAACAGGCCAGTTCCCAGAAAGGAATTATATGTCAAGACACTCCAACTCACCCCCCCCCCTTTCTTTCAGAACACAGAAATAGCCAAACTCAAAATATGCCTTAACACATATCCTTCCTTATAGCTCAGTGAGGTCATCATTGAAGTAGAGCAACAATGCAGGTGTGTAAAGTGTACTGTCCATGTTGAGCAAGTCAAATTCTTCATCTTCATCTCCGATCCCGTTCTCCTGCAGGGTACTACCCATTTTCAATTCTTTCCCTTCATACTTCCACGTGTAGCTGGCAGCATGTGCGTTAAAGGGGAGATAGCGGTGTAGGATTTCCCACAATGATTCCTGGGCTCCGACCTGAAGAAGATGGAAGCACCTCACTCCTAGAATTCTGAATAGAACAGAAACCCAGGCGAAACTAAGGCCAAGATTCCTGGGGATGATTGGGATCAGAGTGCTTCCTTGTGGAAACGCCTATCTTCTTGACAGCCAATTCTAATAGGGTCAAAGCCCCTCTGGACTTCACCCTCACAATTACTCTCTCGGTCTCATTACCATTGAGAGGGTTCCAGTGCACAGCTGACCCTCCAGCGCTGTAATAGATTTCCAAATTTCCAACGCTGTATATCGGTTTTCGAGATTGCAAATCTCACAAATCGCACGGGAAGAGACTGACCATCTGCAGCGCAACTCTCTGTGACTAGCTCCCTACCCTGAGCTCCCTACTCTCACAATAGGACGGTCTAATAGGAAAGGCCACCAGCTGCTGTCTAAAATACAGCACGTAAGAGCTTTCCAGGACCCTCACCACCAAGATTCATTAGTGCTACGCTTGCTCTATGAAGACCCAGACACTGTTACTCCAGGAATTCCTGCCCCTGGGACGTAGGTAGTAACCCCTAAAATGTGGAAAGAAAAAAAAAAAAAGCAGCAGCAATACCCCAGGGTTATGGAGAGCTGATGTCCAAGAGGTCTGCTGAGACTCCCTCTAAGCTGCCCCCAGCCACCAGTTCTCACCTCCAATGTGTGCTCCTGCGAAGTGAGTGTGTTAATGATGCGGATGTGCCGGGTCTTCTCGGACAGCTGCCCTATCTCATAAAGCGACCCCTGCCACCACGGCTTCCCGAAATCATTGGCCCAGTCCGAACGAGGTAGTTGAGGAGGGACGTGCAAGAAGCGACCCCGCGGAGTACGGTACCGCAGAGCGCCGGTCAGAGGATCTATGTGCTTGCAGAGCTTTAAAGCAGAGTAGGGGAGTAGAAGGCAGCACTCACTGTCACCCACCCAGGCTTTGCCGTCCCACTTCTGCTCTCTAGCTCCCCTCCCCAAAATCCCAGGTTCCAGCCGAACTCACGTCTCTGGTCTTTGGATCAAACCAGTGGCTGATGTCCTGGCCTGCAACTTCCAAGATGGGTTTCAGCAGCAGATCTCCTGGGAAGGAGCAGCGCTGTCACTGACCACCCCCAAATCAGGTACCCCCCAAAAACCCAGGCCCCGGGCCAACGTGCGGCTCTTACCTTTGTACTTCTGTGCCAAAGGCGTTAGATCATACACGTAACCCAGGTAAGACACCCAGAGGTCCTCCGGCAGGTTGTGTTGGGCCACCTCCGCCGGCGTGAAAAAGCGACGCCGGAAAGATTCAAAGTTAGGTCCAGTCACTAGCCCCCGGCGTAGCATGCCTGTAGTTTTGCTGGCCATCTGCTCTTCGATGGTTTCTGCTTCTCAACAAACTCTTAAAACTACATCCTCCTCTAGGTACAGAAGCTAAGAGGAGCGCGTTTACCCGCTGACATGGAAACCATTGTCCTTTCCCGGCCACCGTAGGGTGTTATCAAATATTGCGTCGGCGGGAAGAGGGCTGCAAGTGTTCTCGGGAAATGTGTTTCTGTTAATGTGGCACTTACAACTACACAGGAAAATCTAAGCCTGTCACCAAGGAGTAGATTCCGACTTACAGTAATGAGATTGACATTCTGGTGAGGCAGAGTTAAAAAAGGGCAGAGGGTTGTGAAAGAAGGTAGTCTCGTTAAACTCAAGGGTTCTTAAAAGATGCCTAAAGTGTAGTGGCGGCTAACTCAGCAGTTCAGCTCAGCTAGCGGCTCTAGTGAAACATGGGCAGTCTTCTCCTGTAAAGATTTACAATGAAGGGCTGCTATCTGAATCGACTCGATCGTAATGGGGGTTTTTTAGGAGATGAGGGGGGCGAGTGAGGGAGTCAGAATTAAAAATCATTATGAAAGTAGACATACAGTTCTCGCGATATTTTAAGACACTTCGGTCTCGGCCACAGCTCCGGGAAAAACCCAGAAGCTCGCGAGATCTCCGCCTTTGCCGAGGGAACTAGCAGGAGCAGTAATCTCGCGAAAGGAATAGAAGTTGGGAGCGCTCGCGAGATCTTGCTGCTGAACCCGAAGATTCTCAGAAACTTGAAGGGGCCCAAGGAGGCCCCCTCATCAAATGGCCGCAGCTGGGCCCACCATGCTACTACGAGAAGAGAATGGCTGTTGTAGCCGGCGTCAAAGCAGCTCCAGTGCTGGGGTTAGCGTGGGCTTGGGTTCTGGGATTGAGGGGTGGACGGGTAGCAAGATGGGAGTACGAGGGAACTGCAGCTCCCAGCAGCCTCTGGGCTCCGAGTGAGCGCCCCGCGGGCTGCCGGGAGCGGTGGTTGTGTGGGCCGGCCGCCTTGGCCTCTTGGTCTGAGCGCGTGCCCTTCCCCGCTCAGGACTTGGATGGGGAGCGCGATGACTCGCCTGCTGCGCGCGCTCGGCAGCAGCTTGAAGCGTTGCTTAACAAGACAATGCGCATTCGCATGACAGACGGGCGGACACTGGTCGGCTGTTTCCTCTGTACCGACCGGGACTGCAATGTCATCCTAGGCTCGGCCCAGGAGTTCCTCAAGCCATCGGGTCAGTGCGCGGGAAATGCACACCCTCCCGGGGAACGCGCGGGGCCTGATACGAGGCATTTCCGTCTCTCCCTTAGTTGCACTCTTGGGGTTTTTTTGTGGGGGGGACTTGAAGTCGTGGTGCAGAAGGGGCAGGACCAATCCCCTGATCCGCCTCCCTGATCCTCCGACCTTCTTTCCAGATTCCTTTTCTGCGGGGGAACCCCGTGTGCTGGGTCTGGCAATGGTTCCCGGACATCACATCGTTTCTATTGAAGTGCAAAAAGAGAGCCTGGCGGGGCCCCCTTATCTCTGACTACGGGTCGCGTATGCCTCTCAGACTCCCATTAAACTTGTGACTGAAGTGCCCCGTGTCTTTCTGTAGCCGGGACTGGGATTGCACGCCCACCCCTAGAGGACAGGTTGTCTTGGGCCATCCCGGACGTCAGGGGTGCCAGGTTGTCCCCAGACTCGGAAGAGGCGTAGGAGCTGGCCGAGCTGGGAACACGCGCTCCTCTGCCGACCCCCGCATCGGCCCTCCCCCACGGCTGCTGCAGAGGGGGCGGGGGGTATCATCTTGCTCCGGAAAGCCCATTGTTTCCCTCTCCGGCTTGGCGACACCGAGTTCCTCTGAGCTGAGGTCAGGGAACAAGCTTAGGTCCCCAAGGGGAGCAGGGCTGGAGGCTAAGGCTGAGCCTCTCCACTGCTCCTCTGGTTGGGTTCTGCTCAGGAAGAGCCTGTGATGCGATAAGGGCCGCCGCAGGCCGCGCGGATGCTCCACCGTGGGTGCCGCCCTCCCCCACCCGCTTCCTGCCCCTGGGCACCGGGCGGAGATACTGCAGCTCCTTCGATCACGGGCGTGCTCGCGGCACCAATTCTTTATTGATTCAGCTTCCCGCCCCCCTTAACTGCTGGAGGTTTTACTTGAGCAAAGACGGCACCGCTTTGCACTGTCAGTGTCGGGGAGGGGGAGGTGTGCAGGGTCCAGCCCAGACATTGAGGTTTCAGGAGTGGGGAGGGGGCAAGGTGGGTTTTCTGGAGCGGGCCAGCTTTTAACAAGCACTGAGTTCACAGTTTCTGCATTTCCATGGAGATGCGTTGGCGACCGGCCAGGCTGGAGTGGGGTGGGGGGCCGCCGGAGTTGGTTCTCAAACCCAGACCTTTCCTGATGTGGGAAGGGCCTGGGTCCCCGGTGGGGTTCGGGGCTGGCGCGATGGCGGGCCGGGCCGCCGCCGGTAGAGGGCTCGACTGTAGGGCACGAGGCAGTCGGCCAGGCGGAGGCGCAGGCACAGGCGGCGGTAGCTGGCGAGGGCCAGTACAAGCAGAGGCACGAGGAGCAGGAAACCGGTGACCAGCAGGGCGGTGAAGCCCGGATCTCTCAGGTGCGCGGTGCAAGGGGGTGCCTGGGAGCGCAGGAACTGCGGGGAGAGGGCGGTGTGAGGCCCGCGCCAACTCGGGCCGGCCGTGCACCCACACCCACCGGCCCCTGTGCACAGCACGCCGTTTAGCTCACCTGAGAGTGGCATAGGAAGCCGAAGCCCAGCATGGTGACAGCGGGGAGCAGGATGGTCCCCAGCACCAGCGCCAGCAGGAGCAGGTTGAAAGCAGCCACTAGCAGGTTTTGGGCCGTTACCAGCACAGCGCAAGCCCAGCAATCCAGGGGATCCCGGGGCTCCGGGCTGCCGCTGGGTACCGCTCGCTGCGCCCCCGGGACTTCCGCCATGGCCCGCCTTGATTCCCGCCCGCCTGGCCCGCGGCCCTTATAGCCCTCTTTCCTGCCCCTCCCCCGTCCGGCCTCTTCCCACCACCGCCCCCTTTATCCTGGAATGCGGCTCTAGGATTACGCGCGCGCCCCCCCCCCCCATCCTGAGGAGCAGACCTGAGCTCTGGACATTCCTCAGGCCCCCACCCAGCCTGCCTCCACCCCGCGGGGTCTGCCTAGGCCTTACCCATCCATCACGGCCCAGCCGCCCTCCTCCCGGGCCTCCCTCCTATAACCAGCAAAACAGGACTTTTTTTCCACTTTTATTTTTAATATTAATAGTCTCACACAAAAATCACCGAAAATAGGGATAGGGTGGGAAGACCCCTCTGCCCCAGGGGCAGAGAGACAGTGCAGTGCGAAGGGGCGGGACTGTAAACCCCCCACCCCTCAGCAGCCCCAGCGTGGAGGAGCCAAAAACAATCAAAGGAAATAAAGCCCCAGAAGAAACGCGCCTAGGGTGCCCCTGCCCTGGGGGGACATGGCCTTAGGCTGTTTCACACTTAAAACAAGTACATGTTTAAAATTGGCTGCCGGGGCTGGGAAGGATAGGGTTCCTTTTCCTCATAGTTCTTTCTTTAAAACTTTTAAAATTTTTTATTTTATTATTATTTTTAATTTTTTATTTTTTTTTTTACAAAATACCATTTCAGTTCCCACTTCTTCCCCTACAGTACAGGAGCCGCTCACCCTCAGGCGGGGTTGGGGTCGGATCAGGAGTGGGGGGGACTGGTCGAGAAAGTGCAGGATGTAGGGGAGGGGAGCGGGTTTGAGCACCATGAGAACCGGCTGGAGCCGCGGGCGGACGGGAGCCGGACGGGCCGGGCCGGACACTGGGCGCAAGGAGGGCCCGGCAGCAGGCGGTCCCAGGAGGGGTGGGCAGATGGCTTAGGGGTGCGGGAGGTCGGGTTTTCCCAAAAATGAATAAATAGAGGTGAGTGGGACTGTTATAAATTAAAAACCAAAAGAAAAAAAACAGAAAATATAAATCATAACCAAGTGGATAAAGAGACATGTACAGGGGTCACAACTAGCACTGGAAGTAAAAACGAAGGATTTGGGGGAGGGTAAAGCCCATAGAAAGAATCTCATTAAAAACCTCGGCTGCCATAACGTCTATGTATATACACGAGCCGCGTGCGCGGGCGGGCGGCTGGCAGGCGTGAGGGAACCCGTATGTGACCCCCGCCGCCGCCGGAGCCTGGTTCTTGTGTCTGTTTGCTAGAAAGGCCAAAGTCGGTGAGGGTAGGCGCTGGCGGGCTAGGGGCTGCCAACCCCCTCCCCGCCTCCCATTTTTTTTCTTTTTCCTATTTGTTTAAAAAAATTTTTTTTAATAAATTAAGTGAGGGAGCTGCCAATGGGGCGGAAGGGCTGGGCCCGACCCCTTTCCTGGCCGAGGCAGGACCTAGGTCCAGCCCAGGCGTGTGCTGGTGGCCCCGCGGCGCCCTGCGAGGTGGGCAGGTGGGCGGGACGTCCGGCCTCATCGCGACGTGCTGGCGGGGGCCTGCAGAGGGTGGGGCAGGAGTGGAAGGCTCAGGGGACGGCGTGGGGACCACCCCACCACCCTGGCCGGGGCGCCTAGGCTCTCTCCTCACCAGCGTAAAGGCATCATAGGCCTGCGCCAGCTCCTCAGTACGGTACTGCTCCAGCACCACCACGCCCTGCAAGCACGCGCTGCGGCGCCGGGCACAGCCCTCGCAGTGCACAAGGTATGTGTTGCGGTTGCCGTTCTCACTCGTCACGAAAAGGATGTTGAACACCTCCACCTAAGGCGTGAGGAGGTGGCGGTGAGAAGAGGTTGGCCATCTCGGCAAGGCAGCGTGACTGGAGGGAAGGGGAGGGACTCACATCGCACTCATTGCAGTAGTAGGCGGGCTCATCCTTGACCCGGCCCTGGTAAGCAATTTTCTTCCCTGCCCGCACTAGGCTCTCCCGCTGCACCTGGCAATGTTTCATGGACTGCAGGAGGCAGAACCTGGGGGGGATAGGTACTGGTTAGGTAAGGCTGCCAGCAGGAGGGCAGAGGGGGAGCAGGCCCGGAGCTGGAGCAGATGGGGTGAGGGCACAGCCACTAGAGATCTCAGTTCTGTCGTAACCCTTCCCCCCCAGAGGCCTCTGTTAATCCCTGTCCTGGGTTCTCAAAGCATTTCAGGGCTCTGACACTGTTGAAATTTAACTTATTTTAAAATTAACAGCACTAAGAGAACAATGTTTGCGATTTTGTTAGCCTCCTTCACGTAGTACTCTGCACACTGTTCCCCACAGCCAGCCAGGAGGGAGATTTGGATAGAAAGGGAACCACTGGCAATATGAACTCCCCACCAGTAAGATCCTTACTTGATCATCTTGAACAAGTCTGGGTCGCTGATTTTGACAGTTCGAGCCACGTTCCAGGACACGTGAATCATGGGCACAATGGACTTGACATTCTTCACCTCATTCCACTCATACCGTTCCAAGGCCAGCTGGTACTGATAGGCTGTGGATCACAAAAGTCACTACTGGGTTCTTGAACCTCCCCACAGCCACTTGGGAACAAGCCTCATCCCTCACAGCTGGGTCCCTCCAAGCCCAGGCAGGCTCCTATTTCATAACCCAAGGGCCTTCCCCTCACTACTGAATGGTTTGGCATCACTCCCAACCTCTCTCTCACCAGTGAGGGGCCCGACATTCCAGGCAATGTTGTTACACCAGCCAGTGGCCTGCACCCAGTGTACAGTCCCAGCGTTGATCCACACGAGGTCTCCTGGACGCTGCACAAAGCGGTACACAGGAATATTGGAGGCATAGAGATCATCCAGAATGGGCCACCAGGAGCCTGTCAGATAGTCCACGCCGTGCCTGCCAAGTAGCAATTGGATCAGGAGGGAACTTGGGGACCAAGGGATGGATGGGTGCAGTGGTGCATCTGGCAGGGGCATGGTGCTTACCGGTCGCAGAAAGCGCTAATAGTCTCCCAGTAGTGCTCGTGCACTGCGAACCACTCACAGTCGCCTGGGCCGATGTTGATATTAACAGAGCAGAAATTGTTGTTCTCTTGGTGGCCTGCGGGGGGCAGCAGAGAACTGCATGGCCAGCACCTCTCTGAAACCTGCCTCTCACCCCTCCTTGGCTGACCACAGAGGCAGCCTTCCAGTGCTTTCTGTACCATTGGGAAGGCACTGAGAGCCTACCTGGTGTTCGGCTGCCGGGGACCTTCATGTATAGCTGTACTGTATTCATGCCCAGGATGGTGTGTCCCACGTGGCTCAGCATGTTGCCCGTGGACGTTACCCGCATGAAAGCAGGCAGCTTCAGCAGCTCCTGCAGCTGGGGCTTCCACCTGTGGTGAAGAAGGTGAAGCAAAGGTGTGAGGAGCCAGGGGGCCCAGGACTCCGCAAGCAGAACAGCGCTCACAACTGGCGGGCCTTCCTTCAGTCCCACTGACCGTTTAGCGTCAGACAGGTCAATATTGGTGCCAAACTTGATGATGTGATGGTTCTTCGGGTCTGCAGCGCTGCTGCTGGAGTGAAGAAAACACGAATTGGTGGGGAAACAAAGGGGAAGTAAGTGGT